ACATGTAATAACATAAAAGTTTATGTACCTTTGGGATTTTTTTCATTCATTATTGAATGAGATAAAATACAGAATTTTATGTGTGGAAATGAATGATATTAAATCAATAAATATATTGTCACGAGGTGTAATATAATTTAATTGTTTTTTGTGCTGGCTCAAATTCCGGTGGCAACGTTGTTCACGATGCCATGGTTACGAGCGATTCTGTAACTAGGGAGAGTTGTTGAAAAAAAAAAGAATAAACAAAGTTGTTTTTTTATAAAGATGTCTCAAGATTCCTAACTTGTTATTTATATAAGGACACAACATTTGGTGACCCGTCGACGTGATCCGTGGTTGACACAGGTTAGTGAAATATTTTATAGTGAGAGGAAAAGCATTGCATTATTGTATAATGGAGGACATAATCAGAAAACGTAAACCACTTAGAATGACTTTTACCAAAACAGTAGGAAGTTTATTTGACGAATTAGGAAAACAAACGCCTGACAGTGAAAACGTCGAACAGCAGTGTTTTACTTTAGATAGAATTTTTAATAAAATGAAAGAATGTGACGAATTAATTTTGAACGATATAAAAACAGACGTTGAATTTGAAGCTGAATATAATAAGATTGAAGAATATGATAAAAAAATGGATTTGGCGAGAGCGAAAAGTAGAATTTTTTTCAGTAAACAAATTGCGTTGAATGGAACAGCGAGTTCCGTCACTTCATCGCCAAATACAAAGCGAAGAATGCGTCTTCCGAAGATTGAATTGTTGCAATTTGGAGGAGACCTGAAAGATTACCTTGGTTTTTGGAGTCAGCCCCAGAAGACAAGTTCCAGTATTTACTGCAATGCGTAACTCACGGTAGCCGAGCTCGCGAACGCAGCCCCACAAATTCAACCATTACTACTCCATTCAACTCATCTTTCATTTTCCCAAAAACTTTTTTGTTTGCCTCGCTGTGTAAAAAATGGTGTTTTGGATAATCAGGTGTATCGTATAAATCGATATTTTCCCTTATGTCGTGTTAAACATCTTCTGTTTCGATGTGATAACATAATCGGTGTCCGTGAGTAATAATTTTGCTAGTGCACCATATTTATTTCTAATATGTTCATAATGAAATTCGTACATAAATATCTTACTGATATCTAAGACGGCAAATCCTGTGTATATTGGGCGATTTAAAATTAAGGATGTAACATGACGGGATATAATGACTAGGTTATCATCTATGATATTAAAACTGTTGAAGGAAGGGGAGGCGATTAATTTTAAAGTTTTTTTCTTATCTACAACGATATCGATATTTTCACGTTGACCCAAATTTTCTAAAGTCTTCCCGAACATACCATTGTTCATAAGCTTACGGAAATCTTTATCGAAAGAATTAGTTGCCTTTTTTCTCATCTCTGTGCTAAAATTTATGAATCGTTGTAACCAATCTTCTTGTTTGAAACGTAAAATTTTGTATATTTTTTTCATCTTTAGCCCTTATTTTAAATATAACTTTAAGTTTCTGTAATGGGGTACATATCTGTTCTTAGCCTATAAATTAGGTATTAGTTTAGAAACGTTTGATAGATTATTCACATTTAATTCTGCCGCTACTCTTTGAGAATAGAGGGAAAGCATATCTGCTGTAACTTTTAATTGTTCGGGGGCAACAGGTAAATCGCTATGCAAATCATGAATTTTCGTAGGATATTCCTAGTCTACTTCGAGAATCATTCTCTCTTCCTGATCACCTGACAGATTTAATATGTCACTAACACTCAAATCTAAATTATGACATCACCGAAAGTCCTTCGTTGGTAGATGACTCATCATCGCGGTACCATAGAAGTTGTTTTTATCCAGATAAGTGTTATGTAGGAAGAGGAAATGCTAGCGTTGTAACCACCAGTCATATATTTGTTGTTTGCGCGGGAGTACCCATTGGATATCATCGACACGCCTCCCCGCACCCCTTTCTGAATAAACAGATGCATTGTAGGGTCAGTTATAGTTTGTCCAAAGTAAGAACTCCCCTAGCCATTCATCTGGAGGGGTAAGGGGTCACTGTTTAGGACAAATATTGGCTCGGGAATGCGAGAGAAAGGTAATCTTTTTCTCCGGTGTTAGCTCTGGAGTAACGAGAAGCTACCCTCCCTGAAATGCGCTATTCTTGTTTCCATAGCAACAAACGATCTCAAACTTTGTGACAGGGGGAGTTCTTACCATAGACAAACTATAAAAGATGAAATTTCTCCTTCGACATTTTCAAACATGCATTCCAAGGCAAACCGGGGGCGGTGAATACATGCGCCGGATCAATTTCGAAGTGCGATAAGCATAAAGTTCTAAATTTTTCGAAGACATCGGCGAGAAGGAGCGTGTCGGTCTTTACATATAGGTTGTGATAGTCTTTCAATGTTTGCATATTACAATTTTGAAAAACAGCGCGCGCGTGATTATAACCTGGTTCGTTCACCTCTTCTTCATTTAAACTATTATAAAAGCGCGAGGGTAGTTCAGTTTCACCATCGAAACTTCCAGGTAGTGCGGGATCATTGTGTAAATCGTTCAATTGCATTCTAACACAGCTGAAAAATAAATATGTCACCTTCTGAAGGAGTATATAAAAATGAGTGTAACTTAAGAATGAAAGTAATTTATAAATGAAAAAAAAATATTTATTTAAAAAAGAAAATTGTGATTTAAAATACACACATGCCATATTATACATACATAAACAATATATGCTTAAACGTGAAAGTTTGAAGAAAATATTTTTGAAGTATGTACATAAACAGGTTCACGAAATTCAACCACAAAATCCCATACATAGAAATTAACTCCACACAATATAAAATTCAGAAAGATCAGGATCCGAAGTAATGAACAGTTCTATCGCATTTCTGATCAAATTTGAAATCTGTGCGTTCGTTTCAAGAAAATCTTGTGTTAATTGCACTAAGTCAAAGTTTGTGAATATCAAATCTACACATCATAGCAGTTTCAGTTCGTGACTTAGCGTAATACATTCATGACCTAGTTGGGTTTCGTAATTTTCTTCATAGCCGAAATAGTTAATAATGGCTTTTACACTCGATGCGATATCCACTCTCACAAGTTTCAGCAAGGAAGTTGTCAACACCACGTCTATATCAGAAAATTCTATTTCAGGAAAAAGTGGCGGACGGGGACGCTTCTTTAATTCCTCTAACAGAATATAAAGGAGCCTGTGTTGAAATAGCAAAGTCGCTGTGCTACCCGAAACTTTTTCTTGAAAGACCTTGTCAGTAGCGAGTGTCGAAAACTCGGTATCAGAAAGCGTACACATTGACTTTGAAAACTCTCGGGTAAAATTTTTTTCGGAGAAAGTATTTTTGTAAAGTAGCATGAGGACCATTATTCAGATCAGCTTTTGCAACTACTAGACTGTCCTCGAGAATAAGGGCACGAGCCTCCATTGAAGATTCATTTTCGAATTTCTTAACAAAAGAAAGCCACAGGACTCAGAGTTATTCCCTTTTTGGTGGGAATTAGAGAATTATTTGGATGAATTGAATTGAATTGAATGTAGGGTTTAATGGCACAAAGTCCACGGGAGGACATGCTGCGTCAAACAAACGGTTTTAAAATATATCTTACGTATTATAATTAAAAATCACGCGGAATTTATACCTCAAATGGATGAGCACATGATTAACATAGAAGGTAACAGCTACATAGTTCGCTCCTCCAAGATGGTAGTGATGGTCAGGCAATAGTAGAGGGCTTTCCGCAGAGTTAGATGGTTTGAGGTGACTAAAGGTATCCTCCATCATATCAAAAGAAGGTTTAATGGTAAAGAGTAGGAAAATTTCGCGAAATGTCACTAAGAAACTTTACAAAAGTAATAATGCAAACTAAACTGTAGAGCTTTTAACCTTTTCACGTGGGCGCAAAAATAAGAAATGGAGATCCTCTGGTGGGCTCTTTTTGAGACTGGGGGATGAATTCAAGAAAGGGAACCGCTAATCCCTAAAACAAGTCAAATGATGGGTGTTAAACATCCCCGAGAGTTTTATTCCCCCTCTGTTATTCTAAACACCATTTGCTGTCTTTTACACCTCGCCGGTTGCGACTTTACATATTGTCGACTCCCGGGCACCTCTTTGGCAACGTATTTTGAAATTCGCCAATATTGTATTCGCCAAGTCGGATCTCACATTTTCTCGCGAGAATCTTTGAACACTGTTTCGCGCATGCGCAGCAGTTGCTCACGGACACAGCATCAAATGCCTGTCGCTAAACAGTGTTTATTTAAAGTGTTGCTCTTTGAATAACTAGCCCTTGATTCCCACATTGATGCGATTTGAAAAATGTAACGCATGAGTAAACATGAGATTTGAATAAATTTAGCTGTTTATAAGTTATCGTCTCTTTATAAAATTATTGTAAGCGCAGAGAGCTCGCCGCACTTTACTATACTCAATACTAAAATTATTGTTGTTTATCAGTCGCCTTATAAATATTTCCTAAAACCTTATTTACTTTTTAGTTATAAACTTGTTTTATAAGTCGCACAACGATTCCGAAAAAATTAGTTGGTTTTATATATAAATTTTTTTCTCTGTAAATAGGATGTAACTTTCTATTTATTTTCTAATTTAAAAAAAAAAAATGATTTATGGAGTCTTTGCCAAGTATGTGATACTATTTAGTAATGCAACATGCTTTTGTACTTCATTATTTATTTCTTAAATCCCTCAGTCGAAGTTATTACACATTTTATAAGTCTCAAGCAATTTTTTTTTCTGAAGANATGATTATTCATGCACTAGCTTTTACTTAATTTTTATTTTAAGAATGTACAATGCTTTTTACAGCATTACATGTATTATTATTATAACTTTTTTTTCTTTGAATTTTAACCCAAGATGGAAAAAGAAGAAATGTCATATTTGAATAAAAACTTTTGATTTAATAAAGATATTAAGGAATAGCAAATGCTTCATAATTAGGAAATAATATCATTTTAGAAATTTGAATAAAATTCATATTTTAAAACATTTTACTTAGAAATGTAATTGAGCTTACCTTTTTATTTCCGAAACAAGTAGAAAATTCCTTCATTAGTAAACTAAAAGCTGCTGTTAACTGTCAGTGCTTTGGTTTTCATGTACTATTGTAGCAATTGGTAGTGCTCCAATTTTTGTTGCTGTTAAAAGTATTGTCAAGGTAGCACCACTCCTTTCACAACTGGCAGTTGAATCTACAAAAATTATCTCGGAGGCCCAATTCAAATTATGAACTCTCTTCATAATCGCTGTCACCACTAGCACAGCCCATGTTCCATTAAAATCATGTACCACAGTTGCCCCTAGAACAATTTTATGAAACTAAATCAAACAATTTACTTTTTGGTTTCTTATGTGTAAAAAAAGAAAAATCTCCACAAAAAGTTATATTTCAACAAAAACAATTCCATTAGGAAATAGGATTTGTAATAATGAGAATAAATTAATATGAAATTACCTTTCTCTTCATATTCTTTAGATTTTTCATCAATTTTCTCAAACGGAAGAGACACTGAGCCTAAATTAATGTCATGCCAGGTATTGTAAAGATGTGTGATGCACCGCTGTGTAGGGTTTATTGCGGAATTTGCTAAATCCTCGACTTTTACTTCAGTTCTTAGAAGGCAATCCTCGTGGAAACGTTTGGCATTGGTTGCGGTAAATCCATCATTGAAGTATTCAAAAAAATTCTGCTTGACCTAAAATATAATCAAAAGCTATTATTATAAATCGATAACATTATATTTTTCAAAAACAAGTGATAAAGGAAGTTTCGAAGATTAAAATGAAATCTTTTAGAGAGTAACTAAATGCCTCCTAGCAATTTTCTAATATTTGAACATCTAAGTATATATTTGAATTCCTTACACCTTATCGAACAATGTTAAATTTATTCTTATTTTATATATATTTAAATTGAAAAATTTTAGTTAATAGAAATTCATTCATTCTTGACTTCTTTAAGTACCATGGTTCTTTAAGTACATTAAGTAACATTTAAATAAATGAGATATAATGAAACACTGCTTGTAGTCTCAAGTTAAGATTAATAGTTTATAATTAAAATAATAAATGTAATGCTTCAATATAAGTATTTAAAATCTTTAGCTTCTTTGATAAATATTCCAATAAAGAAAGAAAAATCTTATCCAAGAAAAAAATGTCTTTCATTTTTAAATTTTTGCCTCAGTTAACTTTCTTCAATTAAAAATCAAAAGTATTTAGAAATTTAAGCAGTATTTATCTTAATTTTGCATTCTATATATATATATATAGTGAAAATGTATAACATCATTTATTTTGTTTCTATCAAAATTAAAACACTCAACCTATTTACTCACAACAAAGCAGTCAAGAAACTGTCAATATCGCACATCAGTTAAAAGATTCTAACGCTAGAATTAAATCCTTTTTTCCAGAAGTGATCTATTTTAAGCCTGTGGTGTTGTATTATTTAAGCTTCAAAGTTACTTTATTAAGTAAACTAACAAAAAACAAGCTAATAATTAACAAAAACACTAGTTAACAAGAAATCACCAAAAATATAATTAATTCAAAAAAACTAACAGATAATAACTATAGAAAACAAGCTAACAATTAATAACTAGCAAAAAAATAAATAACTGTTACTAACTAATAAAAAATTATTCAAAAGAAATAATTAATCCCTTAATAAACGTGCTTTTATAGTACACATTATTTTATTTCACATTTAAAATTATTATCTCAAACTATTTAACACAGTGCATTATAAGTAAGTAAACAACTTTTAAACTAATTTTTTTCATTGTGTGCTGTCAAATTTTGAAATAGTTAAAAGCGTGCCATCACAAAAAAAGGTTGAGAATCTCTGGTCTAGAAGTATACTCTTTCTGTACACATGAAAAAACAAAAATAAATCAACACATTATACAAAGTAGCTGTAATTAACTATAAAAACAGAAATAATAAATAACTACCTCTTCTGAAACTCTCATAAATCTTAGAGAATCTGCAACATTGGTATGATGCGAGTGTTTCAACAAAATAGTCAATACAGTAGGCAATGGCACTTCAGCACTTAAGAATTTGTCCTTTTTAACTGTGTCTTTAGAAATTTTCTTTGTTAAAACAGTAATGGCTGCCTTACAGTCCATGTTTTTCTTGGAATTTGGTTTCTTCCGAAAGCTGGAATGCTGGCATTTCCAAGACTTGCTATACATCCATCTAAAAAAATGATGAACATCATTATTAAAATGAAATCACAAATATATAATTGTTAAGAGTTACCCATAAAATACAAAATTTAGACAAGTATGTGATGCAAATTTTAATTGTGGTTACTTTTCTTATCACTAAAAGAATGTATTAATAATTATAAAGTTATTTAACGCAGAAATATAGTGGTTCAAAACTTTTTATTTGAATAATTATGTTAGATTTAAATGTATTAGAATTCTAATCTGATACAATATCAATACCTATATAATTACTAGTTATATTATACATGCAACAATAGAAATCTACCAAATATAAGTTTGGTACAGATTATAAATATAATGTAGATGTTCTCTTACAGTAATAAAAAATTATATTCTAATTCTTATAAAATTTAAGTCTCTCCATAATAGTAGGTATATTTTTTTGCAATTATAATATTTATCTATACTGAATTGTATAGAAAAGCTGGATAAATATATATGGGGAAAGATTATCCTTTTCTCTAACTATGTCTCAAAATAATGTTTGTGAATTAAATTAACATAACTAAATACAAGTTTTTAAGTTCATTCTAAATGAAAAGTGTTTTTTAATGAAAAGTGAAAGTATTTTAAACATTTATTAATACATCAATTTGCAAAATGAAACTCACCTTGATAAATTTGTTCTGTGGTAGTAANAAAAAAAAAAAAAAACATATTCATTTAAGAAATATCAATACGGCGAAAGCATATTTTGAACATTTATTAATACATCAATTTGCAAAATGAAACTCACCTTGATAAGTTTGTTCTGTGGTAGTAAACATTCCAACATGTGTGGGTAATGTCGCTATATTCTTCCACAAATTTTTCTACGTCTTCTTCCTCCATTGAAGAACGAAGTACTACTTGATCATCATTTGAACTTTTTTCGTCAAAAACGAGAGTAAAATTTTCACCTAACTCTGGTAACACGCAACTTTTAAAAATATCCATAATGGCGGTATTTGTTTACTTTTTGAGCGAGTTAAAAAAAAATGAGGCGGGCATAGGGTTGCCTCTCAGCAGATCAGGAGATAGAGGACTACCAGATTAGGCGATGAAACAGTTGCTAAATAGAACCGCCGCCAGTGCGAGTGCCCGGGAGTCGACAATGTGTAAAGTCGCATACCGGGCAGTGGCACTTGACCTTAAAAAAACATCAGTGTAGGGTATACAGGGCAAATGTATGCCGGGCAGTGGCACTTAACCTTAAAAAACATCAGTGTAGGGTATACCGGGCAGTGGCACTTGACCTTAAAAAAACATCAGTGTAGGGTATACAGGGCAAATGTATGCCGGGCAGTGGCACTTAACCTTAAAAAACATCAGTGTAGGGTATACCGGGCAGTGGCACTTGACCTTAAAAAAACATCAGTGTAGGGTATACAGGGCAAATGTATGCCGGGCAGTGGCACTTAACCTTAAAAAACATCAGTGTAGGGTATACCGGGCAGTGGCACTTGACCTTAAAAAAACATCAGTGTAGGGTATACAGGGCAAATGTATGCCGGGCAGTGGCACTTAACCTTAAAAAACATCAGTGTAGGGTATACCGGGCAGTGGCACTTGACCTTAAAAAAACATCAGTGTAGGGTATACAGGGCAAATGTATGCCGGGCAGTGGCACTTAACCTTAAAAAACATCAGTGTAGGGTATACCGGGCAGTGGCACTTGACCTTAAAAAAACATCAGTGTAGGGTATACAGGGCAAATGTATGCCGGGCAGTGGCACTTAACCTTAAAAAACATCAGTGTAGGGTATACCGGGCAGTGGCACTTGACCTTAAAAAAACATCAGTGTAGGGTATACAGGGCAAATGTATGCCGGGCAGTGGCACTTAACCTTAAAAAACATCAGTGTAGGGTATACCGGGCAGTGGCACTTGACCTTAAAAAAACATCAGTGTAGGGTATACAGGGCAAATGTATGCCGGGCAGTGGCACTTAACCTTAAAAAACATCAGTGTAGGGTATACCGGGCAGTGGCACTTGACCTTAAAAAAACATCAGTGTAGGGTATACAGGGCAAATGTATGCCGGGCAGTGGCACTTAACCTTAAAAAACATCAGTGTAGGGTATACCGGGCAGTGGCACTTGACCTTAAAAAAACATCAGTGTAGGGTATACAGGGCAAATGTATGCCGGGCAGTGGCACTTAACCTTAAAAAACATCAGTGTAGGGTATACCGGGCAGTGGCACTTGACCTTAAAAAAACATCAGTGTAGGGTATACAGGGCAAATGTATGCCGGGCAGTGGCACTTAACCTTAAAAAACATCAGTGTAGGGTATACCGGGCAGTGGCACTTGACCTTAAAAAAACATCAGTGTAGGGTATACAGGGCAAATGTATGCCGGGCAGTGGCACTTAACCTTAAAAAACATCAGTGTAGGGTATACCGGGCAGTGGCACTTGACCTTAAAAAAACATCAGTGTAGGGTATACAGGGCAAATGTATGCCGGGCAGTGGCACTTAACCTTAAAAAACATCAGTGTAGGGTATACCGGGCAGTGGCACTTGACCTTAAAAAAACANATTCATTTAAGCAAAATTTCAATACGGCGAAAGCATATTTTAAACATTTATTAATACATCAATTTGCAAAATGAAACTCACCTTGATAAATTTGTTCTGTGGTAGTAAACATTCCAACATGTGTGGGTAATGTCGCTATATGCTTCCACAAATTTTTCTATGTCTTCTTCCTCCATTGAAGAACGAATTACTACTTGATCATCATTTGAACTTTTTTCGTCAAAAACGAGAGTAAAATTTTTACCTAACTCAGGTAACACGCAACTTTTAAAAATATCCATAATGGCGGTATTTGTTTACGATTTTTGAGCGAGTTTAAAAAAAATGAGGCGGGCATAGGGTTGCCTCTCAGCAGATTAGGAGATAGAGGACTACCAGATTAGACGATGAAACAGTTGCTAAATAGAACCGCCGCCAGTGCGAGTGCCCGGGAGTCGACAATGTGTAAAGTCGCATCTAGTACAGGCGCATAACAAAACAGTTGCCTTAGAGTAAATATTTCATATAGATTTGCAGTTAAATGCATTGAATGTATGATGTGTGTTAAAAAGATGACCTTAATACAAGTGAAGTTTGACTATTATAGAATTACAATATTTGATTCCATTTTCGACATTGAATAAAAATCCATCAAAAGTGGTTTGCAAAAAAAAAAAATACCCAAGCATTAGGTGCAGATGGACAATAAATCTGTTATGAATTATTTTATACATTGCAAAACTAAATTTGAACCAAATAGGTAATTATAGGATCATGTAGAAACTTTAAACTGAATTGTTTGAAAAATCTTCACTTCAGTTAATGTTTTTAGTTTGAAAATTAAAGAGATTTGGGCATGCTTTTCTGGCTTTATGTAGCATATTTCTTCCTTTCTTAGTATTGAAAATTCTCTTATTTGTTTTATTATTTTTTTTTTTTAGGAAGAGTTGGATGTTGTCTGCCGGAAGATGACCAATTTTCTCGTCACATTCAAAATTTTCAAGGCATATTGAAGCTAAGAAATACACCATGTCTTTATGGAATTGGCAATTTTGATATTGTTTTGTCAAATCAAGAAAATGGGCCAATACAAACAGATTCTCTACATTTATACTTCAAGCGTACTGCTAAAGAGTGTTTCCTTTGCTGGAAAGAAACACAAAATGATTCTGAAAATCAGGTAAATTCTTTGTTTCAATACTTGTAATTGCTTAGTTAAATGTTTTAAATTACATACGTAAAAAATATTTTTATTTCTTGCATTTATAAAAAAGATCTATTGCCTTATAAAATGAATTTAATGCTATCCAGTGTTGTACTGACGAGTGAAGACTAATCATAGAAAAATATGTATTTTTTTCTTATTTATATCCATGAAAGAGAATACATATTAAACAAATTTTTTATAACCTATTTTATAATATTTAATCTATTTATATGCATGTTTATATAAATATATATATATATGTGTGGGAGTTAGTGCAGCATAGGAGTAAATAACGACGATAATCTAACAAACATAACAATTTAATAGAAATAAAAAGGATAGAAGGATATAGCAGTTAACATTATTGACATGACTCGTGAGAGCTGCCTTCGCGCAGTGGTCTCTGGAATGCATGTGACTAAGAATTAGATTGTTCTATGGTATAAAGTAAGAGTTAATTATAAATTCGGGAGTTTCCCTTCGGGACTTCCTCTTCGGGACTGGCTGGCGCCTCTCAATGTCAAGAAGGATGATGAAATCTCTTAAAGTATTACATAATGGAGAGTGATGTAATATTCTGAGATGTTACACTAAGACAGTCCACATAATTCGGCGATCCGGACAACAAAATGTCCTCATTTTTATCAGAACAACTCCTTGATATAGTTACCTGAAAAAAAAAAAGAAAAAGAACGAGAAAGCAAAGTATAAAAATATAAAAACAATTTTTAATTTACTGACCACGGTTTCATGTGGTCAGCTGAAGATGAAGTATTGTTGGGTCCATCGTGATTCCCGACTTTTAGCACATCATATCTATCATTCTTCTTCACTTTTGTGATTTGGTATGGACCGAAGAACTTGGGTCTTAATTTGAGACCAGATCCAAACTGAGTTCTCTAGATTGCAACTAAGTCTCCTATTCGATATTCGTTGGTTTTCTTTCTTCTTTTATTGTACTGCCTGCGGTTCTCTTCTTGGATCTTCAAAATATTCTTTTTGGCTTCTTCTCGAATGTTCTCTCTATTTTGGATAAATGATTCTATATGTTCTTTCTCCAGAATTTGTAAGTCCTCTTTGGTTTTCATTTTCACTCCGGTCAACAGCTGGAAAGGTGTTATCTGAGTGCTCTGAGAAACTGTAGAATTAATGGTACGCTGTACTGTTGGAACAAATTTGTACCACTTAGTAGGATCTTTTATCGATAGTTTTGCCAGTATCAATATGAGGATCTTATGCATTATTTCCACTTGTCCATTACCACGAGGAATACCTGTTGTTATTTTCATATATTCGATACCTTCATCTTGGTGATAAGTCTCAAAATCTGTTGAAGTAAACTCAGTACCTCTCTCAGTAATTATTCATGAAGGATTCCCAAAAGTTATCTGTTGAGCTTTTAACTTATCTATTGCCTCTAGACTTGACGTTGATTTGGTTGGGTAGAGCCAAACAAATTTGGTAAAAGCGTCTACCATGGTAAAAATATGTTTATAGTTTTTATTAGTTGAAGGCATGGGACCAATGAAATCAATATGGTAAGTATCTAAGGGAATATTATTTTTAGGAATCGGGTTCAAAAACCCTTCTCGTTTTCCTGCCTTCCTATTTACTAATATGCACTCTACACAATTATTTATAACATTTTCAACACATTTCTTCATATCTGAAAAATAATTGTTTTGTTTAAGTACATCAAGAGTTTTAGTTATACCAAAATGACCATTAGCATGTGTAGATTTGATAATGTCGGTTTGCATTTGTTGTGGAACCACTAGTAAATAATTATCATTCTCAAGTTTGTATGAAACATTATTTTTTAACTGAAAATCATCAATCGATTTATTTTCCAAAAGTTGTTTAATAGAGTTAATATATTCATCATTTATTTGGTTAGTAATAATTTTAGAGGTTAGTCAAAACAACTTAAACAACATGTTTCATTTGTTTACCTGGGCGATGTACAATTTCATAGTCAAAATCTTCCGAAAATAATGCCCATCTAGCAATTTTAGGAGTTAATTGTTTTTTACTCATAGTCTTTTGGAAAGCTGAACAGTCTGTTACTAGTTTAAATTTATTTCCCACCAAATAATTTCGAAATTTTTTCAAAGCCTCAATTATAGTCAACACTTCAAGTTCATAACTTGAATTATTCTCCTCTTGAGGAGTCGTTTTTTTACTCATATAGTGTATTGGGTGTAATTTGTTATCATCAGATTGCTTGAAAAGAATAGCACCATACCCAAATTTACTTGCATTGGTATGTAACTCAAGCTTTGCTCCTTGTTTAAAAATGTGTAGTAATGGATTTTCAGAAAGTTTTTGTTTTAAAGTTTTTGTTTTGTTTTTTTGTTTCTGTTTTTGTTGACAGTTTTTGTTTGCTGTCTGTTGTTCTGGGCCAAAATAAAATACACTGTTATCCCGAAGTAAATCACTTAATGGTTTAGCAATTAAAGCATAGTTAAAAATAAATTTCCTAAAATATCCGGTTAACCCAAGAAAACTCTGCACCTGTTTAGTAGATTTAGGTACAGGAAAATTTTGAACAGCTAATGTTTTTTCGGAAGAGGGTTTAATGGTACCGTTCTCAATAATATAACCCAAAAAGTTAATTTTAGACATCAAAAATTGGCATTTCTTTAAATTAAGTTCTAGTCCTTATTCGGATGCAGTTTGCAATACTTTCGTTCACCTGTTCCGTGCGTCTATTTCACTTTCTGCGGGTATAAAAATATCCATGAATATGACAACAATACCTTCTCTAAGAAGATCACGAAACACATAATTGATGTACCTCTGGAATGTACTAGGGCTATTACACAACCCAAATGGCACTTTATTAAACTCATACTGCCCATCAGGTGTTACAAATGAGGTGTACTTTTTACTATCCTCGTCCACGTCTATATGGAAAAACCCGTTCCTGAGATCAATTTTGCTACAAATTTTAGAACCCTGTAATTGGTCTAACACATCTTCAATAACAGGTAAGGGGTATCTATCTTTAATTGTTTTTGAATTTAATTTCCGGTAATCTATGCATAATCTTAAGCTATCATCTTTCTTTTTGCATAGAACTATTGGGGAACAATAATCAGAACAATTCTCTCTAATTATCTCTGTTTTTAACCATTCTGATATTTGATCATTCACTTTTTGTTTCTCAGAAAAAATAAACGTCTAGCCCTTTGACATACTGGGATTTCATCTTTTAAAATAATTTTCATTGTTAACTTAGTGTCTTTAATTTTGTTTGGTTTATAATCATTAATCAATACTGACAGTTCATTTTTAACATGAGAGTCATTAATATGAGATAAATCAAGTTCATCATTACTAGACACATTGTTGATATTAAATAAAAAACATTCACAAGAGCAAGAATCATTAATATTGAAACAAGAACATTCATAAAAATCTTCACTCTTAGTAGTTACGATTTGAGTATTTACACTTGAAGAAAGCTGACTTAGTTTTATTAATTGCTCGTAAATAGTTGAATTTATCATTGCATCACAAGTTAAATGTTCACAAATTGCAGCGCTGACCTTCAACCCTGACTCATTGGGAATTAAAGACATATGGATCTGTATAAGTGTGGTGATGTTCAGTTCATCACCACACACATTAAGATAAGAATAAAAATGAATAACAATTAAAAATAATATACTCTTAAGTAAGAGAACAAGATCATTAGAATGATCACTAATTGCAAGGTGTTAAAACTATTTATTTAATATAGATCATTTAAGATATTTAGAGTTACAAATTTTGTTCCAGGAAGGCATTCACTCCAATTAATAATAGGTACATAAAAAATTTAACATTAAATTATACATTATGAAGCTGCACTGCTAATTAATAAATAAATAAAAAATAATTACTCCTGTTTAAAATTATTTTCTCCAGATGGTTTGCATGTATTTACACTAAAGCTTTGAATTTTTAAGTTATCACTGGGAGAGGCATTTTTTGTTTCTGATTTATCGCTTCTGGAATCATATGTTTTATTCGATTTCTTTGAGCAGTACCTCGCAAAATGATTGATTTCTCTGCAAATGTAGCCTTGTTTCTCCTCTCTATTTTGTTTATTTATCGTTTGAAAAAAACGATCCGGGTGGTTTTCTCTGAAATCTCTGTTCTCGCTGTGAAAAAAAGTGTTCTGCCCTTATAAATGGGTATTGGAAACTTCTCTGTAAGGCATATTTTTTGACGTAGTGTAAATGTCTAATTCTCGTGCTAACTCGACAGGATTAAACCAATTTTCTTCCTGACGGATTAAAATATGACTCGCCATCTCTTTATTTAATGTCTCAATTATTTTAATTAAGTTGCATAATGATTTAAATGTTTCAACTTTACGTAATTTGCAATAATACTTGAGATGTGAATTTAAGCGACTAACAAATTGAATATATGTTTCTTCTTTAAATTTTGAGGCATTTTGAAAGTTATTCAAACATTCTTGGGGAGTTTGTTGAAAATCGCGCAATATTAAAGCTTTTAATTTTTCGTAGTTTTTCAAATCATCATCTTCAATGTATAACAAGATGCTGCTTGCTTTTTCACCTAGCATATTGATTAAGATTTCGGCTTTAAGCCCCTCGTTTATGTTTTTCGTATTAAAAGCTCTTTCCAACGATGAAAAAAATTGATTAAAGTTTTCAGGTTTCGATGGAACTGGAAGAGATAGAGTTTTAATGCTATGAATTAGATTCTCAATGTTTGTTTCAGGTGTATCATTTATTGTTTTGGGAGGGTCAATTTCAAATGCTTTGTTTTTTGCCTCTAATAAAAGCATTTCTTTCTCGAGTATTTCTAATTTTAGTTTTTCTTACTCAACTTGAATTTTGCTTTGTTTAAGTTCCCTGTCCACTGTTTGTACTCTTTCTTCTACGGCGTTAGTTATCAAATTTTTGACAAATTCAGAATCATTCTTAAATATTTCGGAACATTCAATTTTTTCTTTT